GCCTCGCCGACAGCCAAGCCCACCACGCTCTCGGACGTCTCACTTGTTCCCCGCGCGTCCGGACGCTTCTCGATCACCTCCCCGCACCCCATGATTCCTTTCCGAACGTTCTGTATTTCCTCGATGTCCCACATTTCCCCGCTCCGCTCCGTTCCCGCTCCCTTCGGTCTCGGATTACGCTATCCCAGCTCACTCGGAACTTGCTCCGCTCTACCAACCACCCCCATATGTTTCTCTTTCATAGTTTACGATCATGTGTCGAGCACAGGTGATTTCCCTGGTGCATCCGTTGCGATAGCCTATCAGCAGCTACGGATGCATCTGGACGGATCTGGCGATCCGTGATGCGCGCCCGTGGAGACGCGCCTCGGTGGGCGGCAAGGACGCGTGGCGCGCATCGACGCGTGGCTGTGATGCACGCCACGCGTCCATCCCCTTTGCTGTCCTTGCTCTCCTCCACCACCCTCGCTACTTACCCTCAGCCTCCCCGCTCTGCCCAGGCAGACGATAGCGACCATACGGTCGACTGTCGTCTGCTATTGGACCCCGGTGTCACCAGGTGACGCCGATCTTCCCTTCTCCGACCTCCCTCGACCTTGACCTCCTCCCTCGACCTCGATCCCACCCTATACCCACCTTCCCGACCGCACTCAAAACAAACACAACGCACGAGGACGTCCATACGGACGTCCACAGCATGGAGATTGGAATAGGGGCCACGGCGCTCATTGGTGAGTCCTCCGCTCGGTCCTTCTGCACTCCCGATGCCCACCCATGTCCCCTGCCTACGACAGACCGAGCACGTCCACCCTGACGTCCTCCTCCTCCGAGCCGCTCTCCTCCACCCGCTCTCCTCCGTCCGCGTCGCCCACCTGCGCCATCCGCCTCTGCGTCGCCCTCCTCGCCCTGCGCCACCCGTGCCTGCCGCCTCCTTCGCGCCGCCCTCCTCTGCCCATGTCACCCGCCTCCTCCGCATCACCCTCCTCCTCCCGCGTCACCGCGCTCCTCCGCGTCACCTTCCTCCACCTCTGTCTTTCTCCGCGTCGCCCTCCTCCACCCTCGTCACCTGCCTCCTCCCCGCACCTCCTGCCCGCGCCGCCCTGCTCCGCGTCGTCCCGGCCCACATCACCTCCTCCGCCTGCGTCGCCCGCCCTCTTTACTCTGCGCCTCCTCCCCCTTCGCATCGCGCGCCCCCGCCTGCGTCGCCCACCACCTTCTCCGCCTCGTCCCGGCCCTCCGCGTCCCCCGCGAGCCCTCCGCCTCGCTCTCCTCCGCCTTCGCGTCCCTCACCTCCGCCTCGCTCGCCTTTGCGTAGCCCGCGTCCGCGTCTCCCGCATTCACGTCGCCCTCCTCCTCCTTGTCCTCTACATCGCCCTCCACCTCCTCCTAGTCCCTCCGCCTCCTCCTGGACCCCCGCCTCGTCCTTCTCTGTGCTGCCCCGCTCCCCATCACCCGCCTCCGCCTCTGCCTCCGCGTTGTCGTGGGGCGTGGCTTACTTACTAGCCCACCTATGTAGTAGTTCACTAATAAATATATTTCGATCACTAATCATATGCAAGATGCGGTGTGAATCAAAGAGGGAGGCGAGCTCACCGTCGGAGACGGCGAGCTCAGGTGGCAGGGCCCGAGGCGCTGGTGTGTGCTCTGGATCCGTGCGCGCTCAGGGAAGGCGGTGTGGAGCGCAACCGGGCCGGCCGGCACCAGATGCATCCCCACCTGCTGATAGGCTATCGCAATGGATGCACCTGGTGAATCACCACTGTAGATGTGTCCGCTACCTGGCCTCTGCCTTACGCTCGCTCGTCCTCCCCTCTGCGTTCTTTTAGACTATTCTACCTCATTTCCTCGCCGACATGCCCTCCTACCCTCTCGGACTTCGTTGCTACGACGCCTGCGCCCTCATGTATATATTCTAGCAGTCTTTGTGCTCTATCTACAGTTTCGACGCCCCCATATATCGCGTGCTACTCACCCAAGTCCTCCGTCCGTCTGCCGCCGACTCCGCCTTCAGCCCTCCGCCTTCCGCACCTCAGCCTTCAGCCGCCGTCCGTCTCGCCTCAGCCGTCCCGCCGTCCTCCGCATCGTCTCCGCACTCATCGCGCTTCTCTCCTCTCCTTCTCGCGCTCGTCCTCCCCTCTCGCACCGGGCCGACTTCCCGTGGTACAAGCTCGACGAGCTCGCACGCGATCCCTTCGCATCCCCCTTTCGCGCGCCTCCCGGCGTTAGCGTCCCATCAACGTGGCTTGTGTTGATAGGACGTGGGCTGATCGTCCACTCAGATGCACTGGCTGACTTTGCTGAGAGGAATGACCGCCGTCCTCCGCTCACGCCGTTTAGGAGCACGACAGCGGCTACCTTGTTGTGGCAGCAACAGGGTTGAGAGCAGGGTCAGAACCAATGTCCGCCGACTTCACGCGCGTGTAGCGGGCTCTAAGAAGTTGTGCCTGCACCATCCCGTGAACACATCGCCGCTCAACGCCACGGTGGAGGTGTCACAGAACAGGATGTTCTACGTCCTCGTAACGCACTATATTTCTTTGTGGTGTGCTCAGGTGCAAGTGCGGCTGGAAGAAACGGCACGAATGGCTGCCGGAATGAACATGGATTGGCACGCGCGAGCACCGAAAATGTTCCCGGTAGCGAGGGTCTCACAGACGGTGTACATGCGGTACGTGGCCTGTATTGATAGGACCTGTGCTGAGCGTCCACTCGGCTGACCCTGCTGAGAGGCACAAGCGTCCTCTGCGTGCGGTTTAGACGGGTACCTTGCGGCGGAACGCGGACAGCAACAAGGTTAAGGACAGGGTCAGAACCGATGCCCGCCTTCGCGCGCCTTCACGCGGCGCGCAGCGGGCTCTGAGAAGTCGTGTCTGCACTGGCACTTCATTTAGCAAACAGCACCGACGCGTGCCGTCAGCCCGTGGGTCACGATACACATCCGATGCCGTGTTCACGCTCATCGGGTGGCAGCATGCATTCTGCGCGGGATTTTCCATCAACCAAGAAAGCTCACAAGCTCGCTCGGACGCCCCATGCAGTCACAGCTGCGAAGAGCCTGCGACCTCGCTCGTGTGCTCACGCAGTGGCAAGCGTGCGCTGCGACGCCGGTGGCAGCCACGCCGTGTGTCATGTTGAACGGAATTCAACGAGAACGGGCGAAACTCGACCTTGAACACCACGAGCCCGCCGTCGTGGCAGGACGACAGGTTGCGGCCACCTCCGCGTGCGACCTGAGAATGTGTCACCTGTCTGGACACCGGCTTGCAAATGATCCAGAGCACTCGGCCTGTTGGGAGCTAGCGGTACGGCCGCAGGCTTGCCGAGGGGCGCGGTTCAGCAGTTCAGCACTCGTTCAGGGTGAGGGGACGGTTTGTGACAGGATCCGCTGCCTGGGCATTGAAACGGGTGCGTATGATTACCCGCTCTGACTACTGACAGGACGGCCAATTCGCTTGAGCAGGCCCTCGTATCGGAGCCCGGCCATTCCAAGTGTAGGCTGAGAGGCGAACGGCGACCTCGAGCAAATCAAGAGGTCAGTGAATGGAACAGAGTGTCATGATGTTCACGCTCACCGAAGCGGTGACAGGTGCGGGACGCCGCCGCAAAAGCCAAAGACGCGGTATGAGCGACTGATGGACCGCTGGCGCAGGCATGAACCCTGGTCATCGTGGCCGCCGGCGCACCGCCCACATCGCCAGACTGTCAGCACGAAATGTCTGTCAGCTGCGAGCGGAAAAACACGCACCTGGTCACGGGTCACTGATGTGTCAGCGAGAATGAGAAAAGGGAGTAGGTACGACAAGGACGATGTCGGGACACGTACCACGTAATCCGGGGCTGAACGCGGTACAGTCAAACCCCTCATAGTGCATACCCCTCGGGAAGGCCCCCGAGGTATGCGTTATGTGGGGGTATGCAGTATGAGAGAAGCGCTCATCGTGGGAGACCCATTGACGCCCTTCTGCAGCGCGCCTTTTTGGCGGCTGGCGCGCGCATTGATCCTCACACGCGCATTCCTCGCGCGCACATTCCTCCCGTTTGTTATCTGACCTCGCCCCCCTACATAGACTAAATACGAGTAAAGTAATCAGTGACTGCGAGATGTTTTTCCCACCTTGAAGAGAAGCTTGAAGGGCCGTTCGGCGCTCTTTCACCTGCTTCTCGAGGACAGCACTTAAGACCAGATTAGAGGAAGGCGAGAGGGATACATTGCGGAGGCAGGCAAAGGTGGCCGGGGGTGTGATCAAGTCGTGCGTGAGCCCCGGTCAGTCCCGATGGTTCGTGTGGCTATTCCAGGCTGCTAGAAGGGCACATGGGAAGGTTATCCCACATTTGGGCGGCATGCAAGGCATACATGCGAGGCGCTAATGCTGATTATATATGGCAGGTATGCGTTATGGACCCCCCGGCCGAGGTATGCAGTATGCGGTATGCGGGGGGGTATGCGTTATGCCCCTATACCAACTCGGGAAGAGGCCAAAGGTATGCACTATGTGGGGGTATGCACTATGATAGGTATGCGCTATGAGGGGTTTGACTGTACCTTGTCACGGTCGGACGAGGGTACGCGCAGTCTCGGGAGGCGGTACACTGTCAGGGACAAGCGGGATCGAGGTGAGATTGTCGCCGAGCGACGGAGCGCGGGTGCGGGCGCGCTGCGGACGGAATCGCGGGAGATGGGAATCGGGAGGAGATACAGTGGCGATTGCCCGAGAGACGCAATCGCCGACGAGCGCGCGTGTGCCTGGGCGCATCGACGGGAACAACGATGAGCTGTGGGTCCCGCCGTCTGATTGATGGTGCGTGCTGGCCAGGCGTGTCCGACCGCTGTCGCGGCCGAGAGGAGACGCGGAACACCACGGGCCTCGCGAATCGCGGCTGATATATAGGCCTGTCAGCGGAATGAATGCTCGGTCTCGCCCACTCACCTGCCCACCCGCCCGTACGTCCTCGTTCATTCCCTCCCAAGAGGTGTTTGCTGACGCTTCGACCCGCGCAGGATGTCCCGACACAAGCGCAAGCGTTCCCTCAAGCTCGGGCAGACGCGCAACCCAGCCATCGGATACACGCGGCATACAACGCGCATCCGCGGAGAACTGCGCGAGAAGATCAAGAGGGAACTGGGTGAGTGGCGTTGTCTGCATGCGCACTCGCGCTGACGGTACGCACCGTCTCGCAGTCCGCCTCAGTGAAGACCCGGGGATCGAGATGCGCTGGACGCTAGAGCGGTTTGCGACGCACATCTTTGTCAAGCACCGGCTGCGCCTCGTCGGCTGGCCGCACGGTACCAAGTTTGGCAACCTCAGCAACATCGCGACAAGCTTGAACGCGCTCACCAGCCTCCACCAGCTGTGGGACCGCGGGGACCTGCGTTTCGAGCGGGTGAGTGTCGAGGAGGCGCAGGCGGCGAGGGAAAACTGCAGCCTCGCGGCGCCGACGCCGTTCGTCCTCCCACGGGGATCGCGGGCGGACCGAGGCGAGCGGCGGGATCCGGGCGTAGTCGAGTTTGGGATGTGGCACCGGCGGATGTCGTGTATGATGACAAAGTCGCAGCGGGAGATTACATCGGAGGACGAGGCGGAGGCGGAGCGGCCGTTCGGGAGGGAGGCGTCGAGCGACCCTATAGAGGAGTTCAGCTCGGACGAAGAGGTTTAGAGCACGTTATTACCAGCTTTCGGCGCGACATGGCAGAGGCTTGGGAAGGTGGTACTGTAATTGAACGTTAATCTCAATCAAAGCGAAATAACGAAGTCAGCTTGCGTACCTGGAAGAGTCCTGCGCGTTTGTGCCTGCGCTATCGGAGCTTGGACGGGAGTCAGGAACCATTTTGCAGTGGCTAGCCGCAGCTGACGCCGCCCGTCAGGAGCGGGCCCTGCGCATAAAAGGCGTCAGATGCCACGTCCATGGCCTCCCCTCTCCGCTTCCCCTCTTTCCTCTCTGCTGGCGTCGTTCCTCCCTTCTGCTCCTCGGCCGCGTCCGTCACCCAAAACCGGTACGCACTCACCCTATCTGCGAGCCGCACCAAGGTGGTACCAGGTTCCCGCCGAGACGAGGTTACACGTTGCCGCACATCGGTACGCGGGTGCTGGTATGGGTACACAGATGCTGGTACGTGCCGTTTACTCTCTGGCGGTCACGCAGTGCGATGCGGGTGCTGCGGTGGGTGTGAGCACGCTACGCTGCCCGCGTTCTGCTGGCAAGCACACCTTTTGTCTCTTTGTTGCATCTGCACAAGTATCAACGCGTCCGTCCACGGTGTTAGGGCTGCGCACCGAACTCGGAATGCATCGCGCGTGGCGATACAACTGGTACGTCGGTGTGTGTCAAGCTGGAACAGGCTGACGGATGTCTTTTCATTAGCTCCGGTGCGCACATAGCGAAGGTCGGAAACGGACAAACAGGTGCGTGGGTTCACCACCCTGCGGGGATTTGCCTCGTTCTCTACAGTTGTGCGTTCCCCCGGAACTCATCTGCAATCCGTTCCGAGTGAGCTCAGAGTCGATCTGTGTGCGAGGGTCCCCGCAGAGATCGGGAACACTTCACTCACCTGTTGCCGCGCGTGGGCGTGCGGATGCTAGTGGTCCTGCGGTACGGAAGTGCGCGCTGCGGTAGGCGTGGTCGTGCTACGTGCCGCCCGTGTTCCGCTGTCAAGCGCGACGACGTACATGCTTGGCGATGGCAAGAGGTACGTCGCGCTGTCGGAACGGGCTGCTTGTCATCAGCTCCGGTACGAGATGCAACAATACGAACCTACTCACGCGTTTCCTGAATTCAGTCACGTTGGGGCTCAGGATCCTCACCGGTACGAGCTTTACGATCTTGATGTTGCTGCGTGCTAATGTTCTTTCTGTGCGCGGTAGATGCGCGAGGACGATAGGGTCGTCAGCAGCACGCCGAGTGGGTAAGCGGGTGGACGGGCATTCCGGCATCGCGTGCTGCGGTAGTCCATCGGACTGTGGTCTCTAACATCCGTGCCGCAACCACGCCGGCTGCTAGCGTGCGCGCACCAACGGTACGTTCTAATCACGCTGTGAGTGGTCATTGTCCGCTCCAATGAAACACTCTGCTCACCTGCTTCTCGCTTCATATGTACCTTTGCTCCAGACGAGTCACCTGCAGCTCGTTTGCACGTCTCAAACCTGCGTGTCAGTCGCGTTTCTCGGATCGCCCGCACGACTGCCCGCTGTATGTGCGTCAGGATAACGCTGTTCTGCACCGCAAGGCTGACGAGCGTTCACGTATCCAAGCGCAAGAGCCCGGTACGTTCCCCAATGATACGCACTGACGACCCTTTCGTGTACACCTTCCACATACCTGGTACATCGCGGGAGAGCCTTGGGCGTGCCGGGAACAACTTGTTGCGGTCGAATTCATGGTCGATTCGCGGAACGGGTTGGGTGATCTTCATGCCGAAGTGGATGGGCGCATTTGGTGCGTGTTCCGTCTCGTTTTGCAATGCCGGGAACAGCGATGTACGGCCGTGTAATGCACGATATCGTGCGGGGAGCACGGTCCTTCCGGGTTCGTGGTACGACTGCCAGCGTGCGGCGACGCGAAGTCAGTCATCTGGCGCAGTGCGGCTGAGGTACGGCTCTGGAAACTTGCAGCATCAGTTTGAAGGGCGGTTTAGAGTGGGATGGGTGGCGAGGCGCGAGGGGAGACGGACATGGGTAGCGTGTAGTAGCTAGTGGTTCGAATGAAAGCCCAGTTAGACGCCAAAACGCGACGGGCCTGCCAGACGCGTCTCTCGGGCTGTGCTGCCAGCTCTCCCGGTCTCCACAAGCTCCAGCGTACTCTGCACCCACCTCAAGCCCTCAACAGCGTCAATTAGCCCCTCAGCAGCGTCAACGCAGCGTCAATGAAGCCCTCAATGAAGCCCCCAATACACTCCCATAGTCAGATTTTGCGCTGGTGCAAGCACGGTGCAGCGTCTACGACACCGCGCGTCTGTGTCCGTCTTGCGCTCCTCAACTCGGTTTCGACGGCTCCAGCGGGACCCCTTGGGAACGTCTCTTCAAGATCGGTGTGGGCAGCCTCATCATCACCGCGCTCGGTTTCGTGCCCGGCTACTACGTCTCCGTGCTCACCATCGAGTACCTCGGCCGCAAGTGGATCCAAATCCAAGGTTTCCTCCTCGCCGCGCTCTTCTGTAAGCACAAGGGTCTCAGCAGCCTGCACGGCGACCGTGCGACGGATGCTAACATCCATCGCGCACAGTGGGTATCCTCGCTGGCCAGTTCCACGAACTGAGCACCCCTGCCTTTATCGTCTGCTTCGCCTTCCTCCAGTTCTTCTTCAACTTCGGTGCCAACACGTGCGTGCCGTTTCTCTCCCCGTACTTCCACCGTCCTCCCACTCATCCCGCCGAGCCCGGAACGCTCACACCTCTTTCCCCTCCAGGACGACATACGTACGTACCCCACCTCGACGCAACGGCCCACCCCGCACGTTCCCAGCTGACCCCGCCCCCTCGCAGTGCTACCCCGCGGAAGTCTTCCCGACCAAGTTCCGCGCGTCCGCGCACGGCATGTCCGCCGCGTGCGGCAAGGCCGGCGCGATCCTCTCCGCGCTCGCCTTCAACTCGCTCTCCAAGCAGATCGGCACCCCCGCCGTGCTCTGGAGTGCGTCCCCCCTTCCCGTCTCCGTAGTACACGGCGCGCGCAACGTCGCTGACCCACTCGCCGCAGTCTTCTTCGGCTGCTGCATCGCCGGCGCAGGATTTACGCTCCTCCTGCCCGAGGTCCGCGGGCGTGATCCCGACGTGGTCTACGAAGAGGAGCTCCGCGAGCGCCGCGCGCTGCGTCACGACTGAGATGCGAGAAGCGGGCTCCCAGGGCGCGCGGTGCACCGTCCCGCGGCTTCCCTGCCAGTACGCACGTGGCGGTCGAGGCCTCAGCGTGCCCCGCATTGTCGAGCCACCAAGGGCTGTCCTCCACCTCCCCCCGCGCCATCGGACTAGGCTCTCACGAGTCCGAAATGAATGGCTACATATGTTCATAAACAGCAATAGTGGTACATCATGGCATCCTTACACAGCGACATACGTACAAAACGCCCCCCGGGACGGAACTGGACTGAACTGGACTATACTGGTACACACCGCGCGCCTCCCGGCGGTCGACGGTATCCAAGAGCGCGGCTGCTACGGACGCATCGTACACCCTCCCTCCCAAAAAGTACAAGCACACATGTCTGGCGATGCGGCGGGAAAGCACGAGCAGGCTCCGGGGGACTAGTACTCGGCGATGGGGATGATCTTGCCCGTGTTGTAGAACGAAGGCCGGGTCTTGCGGCGGCCGAGCATCGCGACCTCGCTGCTGTCGAAGAACGAGTAGCCGGCTGGGGAAAGCGGGTCAGCCGGACGTCGCGACATACAACCAGAGTGGCAGAAAAGAAAAAAGACGCACGCATCATGTCGTCGTACGCCTCGCCTTCGCCCGAGGCGTCTTCCCGGCCGTGGAGGCCGTTGATGGGCCGCCCGGTCTTCGAGTCGCGGAGGACGCCGGCGTGGTCGATGAACGGCTCCGCGCGCTGGTTGGCGGCGAGGTGCAGCTGGATGAGGATGCGCTGGATGTCGAGCAGGTATCCCTGGAGGGTGTCCAGGAAGCGGCGGGTCTGGAGGTGCTTCGAGGACGCGCATCTGTGAACGAACAAACACGTCGTCAGCCACCACCGCCCGGAGGGGGGAAAGCGAACGCACACTGAGATCCCCTCGTCCTTGATGATGTACCCGATCCCGTAGCCGTCCGCGGCGACGGGCCCGAAGCCGAACAGGCGCAGCGCCGGGTTCCCGCAGTTCGAGGTGGACAGGATCGAGCGGTTGAGGACGAGCCAGCCGTTGTCGGTGAAGATCGCGGGGAGCGCGACCTTCTCGCGCTCGCCGCTCGACGCGGAGCTCGCCGGGCTCGTCGGCCGCCCCTCCTCCTCGGCCGCGGCCTCGCGCGCCGCGGCCTCGCGCTCGCGCTGGAGCAGGCAGTAGAGCGCGTACAGGTGCCTGCGCGGGCGATCAGCCGGGGACGCGCGAGCCCGGGAGAGAGCGGGAGACGCACCGGTCCTGCCCGAGGCCCTTGCTGCACTCCTTCGTGAGCTCGACCTGGCCCTGGCACGCCTTGCGGAGGGACGCGACCTTGTGCTGGTTCGGCGCCTCGGAGAAGAAGGTGCGGATGAAGTCGACGGTGTGCGGCTGCACGGTCCGGATCGCCTCCGTGCGCCCGTGGAGGAAGGCCTTGGTCATCGCGGGCTCGTACGTGCACTCGGTGCGGCCGTAGAGGCCGTAGTACGCCGCCTGGAAGGCCATCTGCACGAACGCGTCGGGCGAGAAGCCGTTCGCGGTGATGAAGTTCTTGCCGTACGCCTTGAACTCGAGCGCCTGGCAGTCGTTCTGGCAGATGAGGTCCGAGAGGCGCGTCTCGGCGAAGCGGATCCCGGCGCGCAGCTCGGGGTAGAGCGTCCACTCGAGCTTCTTGGGGGCGGTGTCGATGATGGAGACGGGGTGGGCGGGCGCGGACTGTCCGCGTGGGGGGCGGTAGGAGCGGGCGTAGGGAGAGAGCTGGGCGTGGAAGAGGGTGGGCGCGGAGGGGTTGATGGAACGCGCGAGGAGCATGAGGCCTTCTGTGAAGATGTCCGCAGCGAACCGGAGGACTGTATGACCGTCGACTCCGGTGTGTTCGAAGTTGATACCGGCGGCCCCGTCGGCGCAGACGATGATTTGAAGCTGCGTGATGACTGAGCACACTATGCAAAGAGAATTGCTAGAAGAGACGCACCTTATCATACCACCGGTTGGTACAGGTACCTATCTGGGTACTGCCCTTGAGGTCGTACGTCCCGCAGAGGAAGTTGTCGCACAGCTGCGCCAGGTTCTCCGGGGCCGCGTCGTCCAGGCACACGACGAACAGCGCATTATCCACGACCTCGAGACACGACTCGTTGTTGCGGTTGCTGATGAGAGCTTTCCGCAGGCTCGACCAAATCTTGCGATTCTCTGTCGAGAGCACTCCTATGGCGTTGCGCGCAACCTGTTACATGCCCAATATTACGTAGAATGGCAAGCCGCGGAAGGCGGACGGAAGGTATTCTTAGCACCTCGCTCGTGCGGGGAGAAGGGAAGTGCGCACCTCGTGGATTGGCAGCTGATCGGCGTCAGACACAATCGCCTGCAGGTTCCGGAGGATCTCACGCTCGGTGAGTAGCGGCCGGTTCTCGGCGTCGAGGACGTCGAACCAATCTGGGCGAGAGGAAACGTGGACATGTCAGCGTTCGTGGTCCGCGAGGCATGTCCGGGAAGTGCGGAGTTAGACGACCCAATGGGAGGGAGAAGTGCAACGCAGACCGGGGTCATATAGACTCGGCGTGGGAGTGGAAGCGGAAGCGGAGCGGGGGAGAGAGAAGGAGAGAAGGAGAGACGCACAGAACTGGCCGCGGCGGAGGACGATGATGTGCCTCGACTCCGGGTGGGTCTCCATCTTGCAGCCGCGCTGTCGGTGCCCCACATGTCAGAGTTACGGCCAGGCAGGCATTGGGCCAGACGGCGTACCTCGGTGGGAATGCGGGCGGTACCAAAGAGGCGCAAGTACTGGTCCATGTCGAGCGGGGCGCCACGCACGGTGTCGGGCTGGAGCATCCCCGCGCGGAGGTCATGGATGAAGCCGAGGGAGGAGACGATGAGAGACGAGGCGCGAGGGAGCTGTTGGCCGCGATCGGGGGTTGGATCGTTCCTACGGGAGAAGGGAAGGGAGTGAGCGACTGCACTGTATAGCCCGATCTTGCGCATCTCGGAACTTGGTTTCCGAAGGTGACAGAGTGAATGCGGGGTAGAGAGCGCCGTGGGGTGGGATAGATGCGAGGAGGGCAGAAGACTCACTCAAGCCCAAAGAACGGATTGAGAGCAAGGACCACGGGGTCGGAGTGCGAGAGGTATGATTCGTACCTGCCGAGGAGTAAGTCGGAGGAGCAGGGGACACACAACCGAAATGAACTCACCAGAACTCTTCGATGTAGCTGATCGTGGACAACCGCGAGTGAGCGAAAGAAGGCGGGGACCGAGGGAGTGGAAACACGCACCTTGCCTTGTCCTTCGCATACTCCTTCAGTTTCTCTTGTATGCGCGGGCCTTCGTTGTGCAGGAACTCCTCGACCGCACGCTTCGTATCCTCATGTTCTCGCTTGTCTTGCAGACCTTCGAGCGCGCGGAGGTATCGTCGGCACGTCTCTTCGAGTGACGGTATGGGGAGTTTTGGGAGTTCGCCTTGGCGGGCGAACGTCCGTGATTCAGGCGGGTCCGCCGTGAACGTCGTAAGGTGTCCGATCGTTGGTAGTCTCGACGCGCGAGGGAGGAAGAGGATCAGGAACGGAGACGAGCGGGGGGGTCATGTGGATGGGCCGAGGTGAAGGTGGGATGGAGTGGCAAACGGCACTTATGACGGAGGAGCGAGCTTTCAGAGCCTTCGGCCGGATGACGGCACGTCCGTGCGCGTCCCAGAGCGCGGGGAAGCGCGGGGTCGCCCATTCGCTCTCTGAAGGCACAGCCGCTGCCCGCTATCCCCCAGATCGTGCGAGATCGGGACCGGCTCCATTCCGACGTCCAGACGGGTGCTGACGCGCTGACGATGCGCACACGAGCTGCCTTCGCCGTGCCCGTGCCGAGCTCGACCGCATACAGCCAGACGCATACACCGACCTCCGCCAGGCGCATATAGCCACCTCCGACCGCCAGCGAAGCCCGTCTCGAGCCGTCCGCTCGGCCTTCGTCCCTTCCGTCCGCCCTCTCGCCCGCCGTCTTTCTCCCTGTGCACGCGAAAACGCCCCGTCAGTGACGAAAACACCCGGGCTGCAGCAGTCCGACGCACCTCGTTCTCGCCCCGTACCCAGCCCGCACCCACCCTCACACACTCACGACCTCTGCGCGGCCGACACAGTGACGAACACGGGCCTCTCATGCTGGGACGAGCCCTCCCGAGCGTGTGCTTATGTACCTCCTCCCTCCCTCCCCCAGCTCTTTCTCTCCGCGCACGCCCCTGCCCGCTCCTGCCATCGCCATGACAAAACTGACCTCCCTCACTCGCACAGGAACCCGAACATGTCCACTGCCTGCGCGTACCTTGACCGTGGGTCTCGCCCGCAAGTTTGCTTCAACCACGGATACCGGCCAAGCTGCTCCTCCGCTCCTCCGCTCCACCGCTGTGCACGGTGACTGACATCGCTAAACGGGCTGCAGGACGTGCTTGAGCCCCACAGGCTCGGTAGCGACGTCGACGGCGACGTCCTGCCCACACTCTCGCGCCCTGCCGACACCCACCTGTTCAAGCGGCCGCCGCCCCGTCATCATCCATGTGTCGTCTTTGCTCGTCCGCACCAATGACGCGCAGCCCGTCGCGCCTGATGCTGCCAATCCTCTGCTCATCGCATGGACCGCGCCCGTGGCCCAGCCCTCAGCGCGATATCCACCAGCACTCTACCCACCGTGGCCCTGCCTGCAGAACACACTAACATGCCTCCGCGACGGTGGCTATATGCGCGTGTTCTCGATCAGGAACCTGTGCGGGCTCGTAAAATGTCGATGACGCTTCCCTGCAGGTAGTACCCACGGACTCGGAACGTACCGTGTCAACCATCCGCCCAGCAGCACGCACCCAATTAACGGTACCATGCACGGCCGCCATGCAGAACAGAATCGCCATCCGACCTTGCTCGGACGACTTGACGACTGATCCTTGTCTGTCACTTGACGCACCGTGGCCGCCCGTGCGGCCTGTCGCAACACTAGTCCTGGTGCGTGATTTTGGTTACGGGAGATTCGAAACTCCGTCTCTG